AGCCTGAAAAATGATCCAATCCCCTCATCACACCACAGAGTTTCATCGGACAGATGACACCGCCCCTACTTGGCATTATCACGGACTCCACCGGAAGCCTGTGTGTAATTCGAGCAATGAAGTTCAGAAAACCGTGGATCATTCTGCCCTAGTATTAAAACTTACTGTACTGCATCACTCACATTGTATCACGATGTAACGTTATATTAAATTGAATATCACTGTACTGTAATATTATCATTAACTATCACAATGCATTGTATCATACTGAATATTAATCAAGATCTTTACAAACGCTTTCTGGTCCTCTCAGGGGAGCATGGGTTCATTCAATGCCACATTAAAAAGTAGTAAGGGATACCTTACTCAAACCACGTGTGTCATTTTCGTAAATCAGTCTTTCAATCAGCAGCAGCTGTTTATCATTTATATATAATATTTTAGTCACATTAAAGGCACTATACGGAGTTTTGAATTTTTATGCTCGCGATTGCCCCCTCAGGCCAAAAGCGTAACGGCAGCTTCAATAGTAGGCTCGTGCACGAGGCGCGCATGCTGTACGTGCACACTCCTTAATGAAAATAGCAGCTGAGACAGTTCTGTGTGTGTGTGTGTGTGGCTCGGAGGACAGAAGACAGGAGAACACGCAGCTAATTAATTAAATAATTTGGTTCTGTACCTTTCTCTTCAGCACAGCTGACAAAGGTTTATGATGGATCAGTCCTCCTGCATGCTCAGATCATTCCCTTCCCTTGCTCGGAAAAATTGTTCCAAAATGAAAGTTGAACCCACATCTTTTTTATCTGTGAATTCAATGCCGTTTGGCGAGTCTCAAATAAAAATTTGGGCATCTTACTGTAAAAAATATACCATTAATATAAAAAATAAATTCTAAATAAATTATGTACATATCCAGAATCGAATCTGGATCTTCTACACTGGAGTCCGACGTCTTACTAGGTGTGCTAAAGTGCTGGTGACATCTTCCGTATCTGTAACTTTTATATCCTTGATGACAGCTGAGACAACGTTCAAAGAACGGTTCTGAGCGAAAATGGCTATTTTGTTGCTAATTTGCAGGAAATATCTAGAAGAAAGTAGCTAAGGGTCCTCAGAAATGTAGCTAGCTTTGTCACTAAGCATTAGGAACAGCGACAAAGTCGCTGAGTAGGCACTACCTCTCTCTCTGCTGCTAAAGCTACGGATAGCAAATGCTACGGGCGATGCCTGAGCGTGAACGTGCATGAAGCAGCCTGCTCGACCCGAGCAGCTCTCTTTTTCTGTGAATTTACAGAAAAACAGGCAATCACAGTAAAAATGCCAGGGCTCATTCTACAAGACCAGGGCATTGCAGGAGAATGTATGAAGAAGAAATTCATTATTTCTATACGTGTTTTGGCTGTCAAACTTCCATAATGCCCCTTTAATGCTGTAAAGGATTTACAGCAATACTCGGTGCTGAAATCAGTTTAAAAGACTGGATGTAAAAGAAAACACACTCGTACTTCTCTCCCTGTGAAGCAGGACTCACAGCTCACCTAGAGGAGCAGTCAAATGGCATAAAAACCCAAGCACAGCCCTCCCTCGGTTATTCATCACAAGAAAAAATCCTTTCTACTGTCGCTTCCCACAGTCTGTGGGGCCGAGAGGATCAGCAACAAAATTAGAACATTATCTATCTGAGGGCGAAGGCATCGAGACGACTAGATCAATAAGGCAGAGAATTTGAGGCAGTAGTGGATGTTTTTAGATAAAATAACTTCTTCAGGCAATTCCAGTACAAAAGTGAGGCTGGGAATCCTCCAATGATGCTGTCTAAGCCTGTGACTTTAACCATATGTCCCAGTAGGCAGGAAACAACCTGAAGATGTGACAAAGCAGCACAAAAAATTCAGCTAACGCAGAACAGTTACCCCAGTTTTGGCTACATCCTGTCTCATCTAAATAAACCGCAACGGTCACTCTAATGTGCGTACCAAACTGACACCCGTGCCACAGACTCAGGGCGTGTCTTTGCCTTCCACTGCACTCAGACATCAATACAGCATCCGTAATGACATCTCACCAGAGAGCTTTGGCCTCGAGATGCAACGAAGCATGAAAAAGAGATGATCGAAGACAAAGACGGAAAGTGGGAAGACAACAAGAAAGAGGCGACTGAGTGAGCAACAGAGCAGGGCTGTAATTATTTGTTGACAGGTGATAAAAAAACGGATGAAAAAGGAAAACATTGAGCTAGAACAGTTGGATACTAATGAGTAGGGGTGTGTATTGGCAAGAATCTGGCGACACGATATGTATCACAATACAGGGGAGACCTTACGATAAATTGTGATATTAGGGAATTGCTTTAAGTGTCAGACACAAGTCAGTGACTCGATGCAACCTGCTGGGTTTCTTACATAAGAAGCTTTTAGCTAATTGACATAATGAACCGAGCTCATTTTGGATGTTTATTTTGTGAAGTACCTTGAGACGGCTCTTGTGATTTTACGCTATATAAATAAACTTAATTGAATTGAATTAATGCTGAAATCCAGACGATATTTGCTATTTTATAGATTCAAAGGATGATGTGTATTTTCCCAGCCAGTAGGGGGCAGTACATACCTAACTCATTGCAAGCAAGCTGCATTTTTGTGTTGGAGTAAGACCTTACCAACGGATGGTCGTTAGGGTCAAAAATCTCTGGGAGCACAACCTTCACCAAAAAGGAGTGAAGAGGTAAACGTGTACACCAACAAAATTAATGAATGGTGAAAGTTTTGCAACCGTTTGTTACAAATAAATAAATGCATTTTGTCCTCATGGGCTCCCGTAGAAGGAAACATGTTGTCTATTATAGCATTGCCCACAAACTTAGACTTAGACTCCTGTGTATTTTAGACTCAATTTTTATGGTTATATGTTACAAAGCCGCCAGTATTTTTCTACAGCCGGACATCATTTAATTACATCTTGATGGATATTTTCAGAGATTAATGGTAAAAACGACATCATCTCTTTAATTGGAAAACTGACAAAACGAGATGCGAGATCTCGTTGTTCTGTCAGAATAAAGGCGGCAAAAACTCCTGCCGCCTAGCAGTTGGAGTTTGAAATACAAAAGAAATACAGTACATTTTTGAATGCCCCCCCAAATAAAATCGATTCAGTTATCATCACAAGAGATATCAAAATATTTAGGTGTTTTGACATTTTCTTACATAATTTCTAATGAGTGCAACAACCGGTATCATTTAACTTTCAGCTTACACAACAAATAAAACATGCTCTAGACCAGGGACTTCAAACTCCGGTCCTCTAGGGCTGCAATCCTACATGTTTTTGTTGTTTCTCTGCTCCAACACACTCAATTCAATGGTCGAATGAATTGTTCAGCCTGTTGTTAACCTGCTAATTAAAATGAGTTGTGTTTAAGCAGAGATACAACTAAAACATGCTGGATTGTAGCCCTTGAGGATCGGAGTTTAAGACCCCTGCTCTTGACTATCTGAAGCCACTTTCTCTGAACCGCTGAGCACCACGATAGTGACATATCATCACAAAGGATATAAATATCCACACTTTTCTTCAAAACACTCCCCTTCCCCCAACCAGACATTTCAAGGGTTTTTAAGAGTTTATCGTTGCTCGAGTCTACTTTTTGATTCCTAAATATAAATTGGCCATTTTTAGACGACTCCAAAGTTGGCGTAACATTAAAAAGAGCTGTTCAAAAACATGCTCAAAGATATAAATATAAAAAATACCACATCTGTGATCATCTGAGATACTTAGAATTGTGTTTTTTTTCCCCCTTTTGGGCTCTTTGGCACATTGTGACGCACCTCTTAAAAATACCACACAGCTTCACGAGAAAACAAAGCTGTAACAGTTAAATGTCAACACTTTGACAGAAGCTTATGAGAGGGTAGCTGCTTGGAAAAGGTTGCAGTGAAAAGGTTTTTTTTCCTTACATGGGACAACGGCGCAAAAAGTGCCTGAAAAGCAGAGCAGCTACTAGAAATCTCAAACTGGCACCAGGAGGTGAAAGTGAAGTAAGAGTTTTGGAGCGTAAAGTAGAAGGAGGGGATTCGTTGGCGACAATTCAAGATGTAACCTTCTCACTGGCGGATCGGAGGAGTGCTTGTTCCCCATCAATCAGTGGTGGTCGGTGATGAGACTAAACTAGCAGAACAGGGGGTACAGAGAGGATAGACACTGCCTCCGTCCTAAGCACCAATCATCCGTCATTCTGCCTGGGTCTGATAAAGTCACAGAATGTTTTTAAAGCTCGACAGTCAGGAAAACTTAAATGAGGTTTGAACTGTTCACCGGAAAACCAACAAGGCACAGAAGCAAAGCGGAGATGAAAGCAGCCTGATGCAACCTCCGGAGAAATTCTGTCACCGCGATTGCTTCGATGAAGCCGTCGGTGTTGTGAAACGTCTTAGAGACAAAAAACGATTGGCATCTGTTAATGTGAATAAATTAATAACTCAAATACATTAAAAATAAACATTTTACAGCGATTAAATTGCTTTTAGAACAACAGTTTTACTGCACAGATGATGTCCAGAACAACGGTGCCGTTCTGGACAGGTTGAGGATCATTAGCTTGTTGTTACAGGCAGCTGAGCCACAGCTGTGGTGTGGTAATCTTCCTATGCTCAGACCGAGCTGAATATTTCTTGCTTGCATCGGTATGCTGCGGAGCACCGCAGGAGACACATGTAGGGGGGGATTAGCTCCAGTTAAAACTGTAATATGGGCTGGCGGACCAAGAGGAAATCACCTGTGTGTCTGGTTTTTGTCTGCTACGAATTACAGCAGCAGGAGGTCAGCGGTTCACCAGATAAGCAGGCACTGGAGGAATTGTCAACCTCAGCGAGCTTTTGTAACGTGTAGGCAGAGCCTCGTAACAAAATAATGGGCTGCATTGTGCTTTTAAAATCCTTTTCTTCTGTGGAGAATAAAAATGGAACAAATGGAGAAGAATAAACCAGGCTAGCACCAACCTTGGCCTTCCCGGTGCTCTGCAGAATGTGCACCAGCGCGCACGCCATCTCCTCCTTGTTCTTGACGCCGATCCCCGGCTCCAGCACAGAGCACAGCAGCATGTAGTTGTTGGTGGTGTACTCTGCAAACTCCTTGTACATCTCCATAGGCAGGATGCTCATGCTCTGATAGCGGGCCTTGATCCTGATCATGGGGCCTGACGTCTTGCCCTTTGGCGGGTTGGGCGTGCTGACCGGATACCATTTTTCCACAAACTGCCGTCCGGTGACGGCTGGGATGGGGATGTTTACAAGTCCGATGTAATTGTTTTTGTCTTTCTTTTTCTTCTTGTCTGTGTCTTTGTAAAGGTGTGCTGTGATGCTCCTGACAGCAGGCAGGTTGCTGAATTCAAAGTGTTCTCCCCAAAAGACATTGTCAGTCTTGAGCTTGCAGGTGGTGCGAGCGTACAGTGAGTCATCAAGGCAGAGCTCACAGAAGTACTTCTTTTTAGTCGGCAGGTCCTTGGCTTCGATGATCCACAGCCTCAGCATGTTCTCAACCCGGCGACTGTTGTCCTGGAGATGGAGAATAATTGGTTTAGTCTTAAAATAAAACAATAAAGCAGATTGAAATGACCACTGAACTGAAAAGTGTGAACCAAGTGATGGTGTCAGACCATTCTTTTATCGTCTCGTCTCGTCTTCCTCCGCTTATCCGGGTCCGGGTCGCGGGGGCAGCATCCCAACTAGGGAGCTCCAGGCCGTCCTCTCCCCGGCCTTGTCCACCAGCTCCTCCGGCAGGACCCCAAGGCGTTCCTGGACCAGATTGGAGATGTAACCTCTCCAACGTGTCCTGGGTCGACCCGGGGGCCTTCTGCCGGCAGGACATGCCCGAAACACCTCCCCGGGGAGGCGTCCAGGAGGCATCCTGACCAGATGCCCAAACCACCTCAACTGGCTCCTTTCGATCCGGAGGAGCAGCGGTTCTACTCCGAGTCCCTCCCGAATGTCCGAGCTCCTCACCCTATCTCTAAGGCTGAGCCCGGCCACCCTACGGAGGAAACTCATTTCGGCCGCTTGTATCCGCGATCTCGTTCTTTCGGTCATTACCCAAAGCTCATGACCATAGGTGAGGATTGGGACGTAGATCGACCGGTAAATCGAGAGCCTGGCTTTCTGGCTCAGCTCCCTCTTCCCCACGACAGAACGGCTCAGCGTCCGCATCACTGCAGACGCCGAACCAATCCGCCTGTCGATCTCCCGATCCCTCCTACCCTCACTCGTGAACAAGACCCCGAGATACTTAAACTCCTCCACTTGAGGTAGGACCTCTCCCCCAACCCGGAGGTGGCAAGCCACCCTTTTCCGGTCGAGAACCATGGTCTCAGATTTGGAGGTGCTGATCCTCATCCCAGCCGCTTCACATTCGGCCGCGAACCTACCCAGCAAGAGCTGAAGGTCAGAGCTGGATGAAGCTAGGAGGACCACATCATCCGCAAAAAGCAGAGACGAGATTCTCCTGCCACCAAACTCGACACACTCCACACCACGGCTGCGTCTAGAAATTCTGTCCATAAAAGTGATGAACAGAACCGGTGACAAAGGGCAGCCCTGGCGGAGTCCAACCCTCACTGGGAAAAGGTCCGACTTACTACCGGCTATGCGGACCAAACTCACGCTCCTCTGGTAAAGGGACTGAATGGCCCTTAACAGAAAGCCACCCACCCCATACTCCTGGAGCGTCCCCCACAGGGTGCCCCTGGGGACACGGTCATAAGCTTTCTCCAAATCCACAAAGCACATGTGGATTGGTTGGGCAAACTCCCATGCCCCCTCCATCACCCTTGCAAGGGTATAGAGCTGGTCCACAGTTCCACGGCCAGGACGAAAACCACATTGCTCCTCCTCTATCTGAGATTCAACTATCGATCGGACCCTCCTCTCCAGTACCTTGGAGTAGACCTTTCCAGGGAGGCTGAGGAGTGTGATCCCCCTATAGTTGGAACACACCCCCAGGTCACCCTTCTTAAAGATGGGGACCACCACCCCGGTCTGCCACTCCCTAGGAACTGCCCCCGATGACCACGCAATGTTGTAGAGACGTGTCAACCATGACAGCCCTACAACATCCATAGCCTTGAGATACCCAGGACGAACCTCATCCGCCCCCGGGGCTCCGCCGCTGTGTAGTTGTTTGACTACCTCAGCAACTTCTGCCCCCGAGATCGGACAGTCCATCCCCAGGCCTCCCAGCTCTGGTTCCTCCTCGGAATGCGCATTGGTGGGATTGAGGAGCTCCTCAAAGTATTCCTTCCACCGTCCGACTATAGCCTCAGTTGACGTCAGCAGCTCCCCATCCCCACTGTAAACAGTGTGAGCGAGTTGCTGCCTTCCTCTCCTGAGGCGCCGGACAGTTTGCCAGAACCTCTTTGGAGCCGATCGATAGTCTTTCTCCATGGCCTCACCAAACTCCTCCCACGCCCGAGATTTTGCCTCGGCAACTGCCACTGCTGCACCCCGCTTGGCTATCCGGTACCTGTCGGCTGCCTCCGGAGACCCACAGACCAGCCACGCCCTGTAGGCCTCCTTCTTCAGCCTGACGGCTCCCCGAACCTCTGGTGTCCACCAGCGGGTACGGGGGTTGCCACCACGACTGGCACCGGCCACCTTACGACCACAGCTAGCAACAGCCGCCTCGACAATCGCAGAGTGGAACAAGGCCCACTCGGACTCAATGTCCCCCACTGCTCTCGGGACGTGGTCAAAGCTCTGCCGGAGGTGGGAGTTGAAGACCGTCTTGACAGGTTCTTCTGCCAGGCGTTCCCAGCAGACCCTCACTATGCGTTTGGGTCTGCCAGGTCTACGCGGCATGTTCCCTTGCCATCTGATCCAACTCACCACCAGGTGGTGATCAGTTGACAGCTCCGCCCCTCTCTTCACTCGGGTGTCCAAAACATACGGCCGCAGGTCAGATGATACGACTACAAAATCTATCATCGACCTGTGACCTAGGCTGCCCTGGTACCAAGTGTACCGGTGGGCATCCTTATGTTCGAACATGGTGTTCGTTATGGCCAAACTGCGGCTTGCACAGAAGTCCAATAACAAAACACCGCTCGAGTTCTGATCAGGTGGGCCGTTCCTCCCAATCACACCCCTCCAGGTCAAGCTGTCATTGCCCACGTGAGCATTGAAGTCCCCCAGCAGGACAATGGAGTCCCCTGATGGAGCACTATCTAGCACTCGTCCCAGGGACTCCAAAAAGGGTGGGTACTCTGAACTGATATTTGGCCCATAAGCACAAACAACAGTCAGGACCCGTTCCCCGACCCGAAGGCGCAAGGAAGCTACCCTCTTGTCCCCCGGGGTAAACCCCAACACACAGGCAGAGAGTCTCGGGGCTAACAAAAAGCCAACCCCAGCCCTCCGCCTCTCACCCGGAGCAACTCCAGCAAAGTAGAGTGTCCAACCCCTCTCCAGGTCTCGGGTTCCAGAGCCAATGCAATGTGTCGAGGTGAGTCCGACTATATCTAGCCGGTACCGCTCAACCTCTGCCACAAGCTCCGGCTCCTTCCCCGCCAGCGAGGTGACGTTCCATGTCCCAAAAACTAGTTTTCTTGTCCGGGGATTGGACCGCCAAGGCTCCCGCCTTGGTCTGCCACCCATTCTTTTATAATAATCCTAATTTTAAAAGCCTTAATAAGAGTAAAACAATTTTAAAACCTGTTCATTTTGCTAATTAAACCCATCACTCATCCTGACTTTCATTAACTTAAGATGAGAAACATTTTACTTCCATTTCTATGACACTGATTAGGTTTGAGAGGGGGATTATTTTGAATACTAAACCTCTAAAGAGATGAGATAATAATGACATTATAAAAATGAAGGACCAGACCTCTAAAACCAACCGACGGGACTTGTGATGTCTTGGGTGTGATTCAGAAACCTCAGGAGTGAAATGATTCGATTATCCTTGTACTAGGAACTACAAAGTCATTATGACATTTCCGAGTGGTTTTCCAAGTTTCCTCAATAAAGTGGGAGCTAAGACTTAACGACGTGTCATTGCAGACTGGTTTACTTTTGGTTTAGTTGACATCTAACTGAGTGAAATGACATGGAAGTCTCCACTTGGCAGCACGGTAAGAGCTTGTTGAAATCTTTATAACTGCTGGGGAACGGTACCTCAGTGGTTCCTTACTGATCTCCTTCATGATAGGATACACTCAACCATCCTAATGCCATATTATTGTGATAATAAGATAAACATCAACTTTTGTCCGCGCTGTTTCCATCGTTATGAGACCCTGTGGCCTCTCATAAAGAGTGTCTTTTTGCACTATATTTTATTCTCATGGCACTTAATTTAGATGTTTATATTTTTTATTTGTATAAATATTAATTGTTTAAATTTAGTTTGTTTCAAGAAATGTATCTCCATTGTTTATGTAAAGGGGAAGTGGACGGTTTTGGCTTGCTTTAGTGTCTGTTTGTAGAACCGAAAGCAAAACTTCCTCGCTGTGCGTTTGTCTTTTTAACACCTTATTCTAACAGCTGACATGTCTCCCCAGCCTTCCTTAGAGTCTACAGGAGTGGTTCATCTCTAAATAAAAAAATAAAAAAATCAGCTGTGTTCATGATCTAAAACATGCAGGAAACGTGATGGAAGCAGACTGCAGCGCCAGGTATGTCAGCTCCCTTTTTTCTAAGTTCCAACAGAGCAGCTGCCAGTCTGAAGTTGCAAGTGGAATATTCTGGCAACAGGGGGCGATAGGGGCTGGGTGGCCTTTCATTAACCCTGTCAAGGGTCATTTTAGCACATACTGGCTCAAGAAACATTGCTCCACCATCCGGCATCTCAGGAGGAGAAAAGCTGTGGGCTACCAACACTGTTTACAGTGGTGATAGTATGCTGCTGACCTCACCTCGGGGTGTTGTGGATCGGTGGGCGGAGTACTTCGAACACCTCCTCAATCCCGGAGTCAGGGGACTTTGGGTTGGACTCTCCAATCTCTGTGGCCAACATCACTGACATGGTCAAAAAGCTCCTTGGTTGGTGGGCCCCGGGGATGGATGAGATCCGCCCAGAATTCCTTAAGGCTCTGGATATTGTGGGGCTGTGTTGGTTGATGCAATATCTCATGGACCTCCAGGGCTGTTCCACTGGACTGGCAGACTGGGGTGGTGGTCCCTCTTTTTAATGAAGGGAACCACAGGGTGTGTTCCAACTACAGGGTACCACACTCCTGAGCCTCCCTGGTAAGGCCTATTCAGGGGTTCTGGAGAGGAGGGTCCGTCGGATTGTCAAACCTTAGATTCAGAAGGAACAATGAGGTTTTCGTCCTGTCCTCCTGAACGTCTACTTGGTGAAGTTATCTGGGCATGTTGAACCGGGAGGAGACCCAAGGGAAGACCCAGGACGTGATGGAGGGACTGTGTCTCTCGGCTGGTCACCCTTGGGATTCCCCAGGAGGAGCTGGCCCAAGTGGCCGGGGAGAGGTGTGTCTGGGCCGCTCTGCTTAGGCTGCTGTCCCTGCAACCCGAGTCCGGATAAGCAGCTGAAGATGGATGGATGGCTCAAGAAAATGGTTTAGAAATAAGAAAAAGTTGCAAAGTATCCCTTTAATTTTGAACTAATACTAATTTTACAAGTTCAAAAGGTTGGAATAATCGGAAGAAAGTAAAAAATAATTAACGCCACAAACTGGGTTTAAGAAGCCTAAAAAAAACCAAACATGCACCAAAGAATCTGTTTTTCACCATGACGATATAGAAGAATTACCCCACCCCCCCATCATCACCAGTTTGAGTACAGAAGATTCATTCTGTTTGTTTTATTTCTGTCACACCTTCTCTTGTTAGTGATTGGCTGGCCATCTGTTCAACAATTGCCAAATGTCGGCTGGAACAGGTGGTTTTCTCACAAAGATAAAAGCAGGTACAGAATGGTTTTAGCCCCCTGGTATCTTCTCCTGAGGATGTGATTAGAAAAACATAGGATGCCCTTTTCTAGACAGATTTTTGGACTACCGGACTGCATCAGTGTGATTTTTCTCATCAATACCTATTTACAGGAAAAAGAACACTTTTCTTTTTCTGCTCTGTGAAAAGCTTCACCGGAGATTCAACGGAACACTGAAAAAATGCCACGGCTACTAAAGAAACATCTCATTTCTATCTTTATCAAAGAAGGGAAGCATGGTCTGTCGTTTGCAGATGGCTTGCACTTTGGCTAACAGTATTTGCTTATTTTCCTTCAGTTCCTCTTCATTTAGTCTGGCTACTTTAAAATCACTAATGAAACACCACATTTGTGCTTTGCAGGTCCAAAAATTCCTCCTATGAACTGGAAGAGGGAAGCGATTACTTTGCTATTACTTTTTATCCTTAGAATCAAAGACAATCTTGACCTGGATTCATGTGCTGAATCAGCCAGTGTTGCTATTTGTAAAAAGTAGCCGAAATCGTCTGGCTGCCATAGACAGAATCTTTAATTCAGCTTATTTATGTGGAAACAAACTCAGCAGAAAACTTGTCAGGACAATAATAATAAGAAAAACAGGTCATTTCCATAAGGCAGTGATTCTATTTAGAGCAGTAGGATCAGATTAAAGGCAGAGTTCGGCCTGCAAGCGACGGCTCTGGAGCAGCAAGTGGCTCTTTGGATCTTCCGCGGTGGCTCTCCATAACGTTTGCTACAAAGATTAAACTAACTCGTATTTTTAAATATAGTCATGAACAATAAATAAATGAATAAAAAACGCAGGATTAAGCAGCTTTTCAGTAACTGAATAGACTCTGCGTCTTAGCATATGCTACTTCCGGGGGAAAAACTCACGTAGAGCGTTTCACTTCCGTTGTGAGCCGCTGCATGTTTACGCTAGGATTTACGGTCGGGTTTTCCATCAGAAGTCAGGAAAATGGCTGAATTAAGCGGCGTTCTAAACTTCTCAAGATGTCTTGGGCATTTGCCGAATATATCTGTAGATGATGTTCATCGACTTGTTGATCTTTTTTTCCCCCGTGCAAAAGAGAGAGAGCTGCTGCCTGAGCTCCTCGATCTCCCTTGACACAGATTCGTATTTAATGTGTTATACGACAATAAAAGAGCTTGCTGCATAATCATGATCTTCGATCCTGGGGATGGAGGCTGGAGCAGACTCAGCATAACCCGCGATAGGGATATCGGTGTTTCCATCCTCTGTGTTGTCATCCACGCTTGCCATAGCCACGGTGTCAACAGGCCGAGGGTGGCGCTCCCAAACTCCGGGTCGCTCTGACTTTTTCGTGAAGTCAGTCCAGTGGAATAACAACGGAACAACTTTTGGCTGAAGACGTCGCTTTCCCGAGGAAGACGAAGATCTCGCCAGTCTCAAAATGCAGACTACACACTCTAGAGCTGGCCGTAACTCTGAAGCGGTCCCGTCTGATTTTATCAGCCATTGCGCCCGCTACTCAGGATCCGTGGGAAAGGAGTGAAAAATAACCGTTTTGTTAAATCTCCCCCAGCAGTACACAGCGGACGCGGCAGTGATGAGTGTTCCCACCTTCTGCTCTTTGTAGTTTAACGCAATCATTCCGTTTTAGCAATTCTGACACGACATTTGAGTCCACAACAGTAGCGATTTAGCAAAATAAAAGCACAGCAGAAATTAACAACCCTTCAAAGCAGGTCTCAAAACAGGAAGATAGCCTTTTCTCGTGCACAGGGTCTATTAAATTTCCACAACAGAGTCACACCAAAAGTACCAGTAATATTTTGAGATGTATTTGTACTTTTTTACTTACAGAATTTTACACAAACATCAAAAAGTCCATCCTCTTTTTGCTGAAGTTTAAAACCTAATAATAAAAACTAAATGGTGTTTTTTGTGACTTTTCAAAAGTCACAACAAACTTCTTAGAGTAGATATTTACAGAGGAAAGGGAAAAAAAGATTCCTTTATTTAATCTCAGAAAAAAAATCTATTCTGATTATAAAAGCAAACTATGCATCTTTTTTTAAATTTTAACTCATTTTCTTGAGCCAGTAACGGCCTAGTGCTAAAATGAGCCTTTAAAGGGTTATGTTTATGTATTTAGCAGACGCTTTTGTCCAAAGCGACTTACAAGTGATAATCGGCATATTGCCCTTGAGGCTAACAACAACAATAACAACAACAACTTGACATCAGTCATGGAGAGTAGGGAACAAGGAGTGGACAGTAGAGAGGGGGGACGGGTGCAGGGAGGGTGCTAGTTTAGAAGATGCTCTCTGAAGAGCAGGGTCTTCAGGAGTTTCTTGAAAATTGAAAAGGAAGCCCCTGTTCTGGTAGTGCTTGGAAGGTCATTCCACATTTGTGGAACGATGCATGAGAAAAGTCTGGATTGTCCTGAGCGTGGTGTAGGCACTGCTAGCTGACGATCCTGTGATGACCGGAGCGGCCGGGCCGAGACGTAAGCCTTTGCAAGAGGATTCAGGTAGATGGGAGCCGTACCATCTCGGACTTTGTATGCTAGCGTTAGCAATTTGGATTTGATGCGTGCTGCTAGCGGTAGCCAGTGGAGCTCAATGAACAGAGGGGTGACATGTGCTCTTTTTGGCTGATTGAAGACCAGATGCGCTGCTGCGTTCTGGACCATTTGAAGAGGTCTCACAGTACAGCCTGGAAGACCAGTTAGAAGGGCGTTGCAGAAATCGAGGCGGGAGATGACAGTAGATTGCACCAGGAGCTGGGTGGCATGTTGTGTTAGGTATGGTCTGATCTTTCGTATGTTATACAGCACAAAGCGGCATGAACGAGCAACAGAGGCAACATGATCTTCAAAGATCAGGTGTTCATCAATCACAACACCCAGATTTCGAACTGCCTTTGAAGGAGCCAGAGATAGGAAGTCATTTTGGATTGAGATATTGTGCTGTATGGATGGTTTTGCTGGGATGACAAGTAGATCAGTTTTAGAGAGGTTGAGTTGGAGATGGTGGGATTTCATCCATTTTGATATGTCAGAGAGACAGTTTGATATTGGTGCAGAGACAGTGTGGTCGTCCGGTGGAAATGACAGACAGAGCTGGGTGTCGTCTGCATAGTTAGGTTAACGAAATGCCACTCAGACCCCTACCGCCCTTTGTGACCAGAATATCGCACTTGCAACTTCAGAGTGGTGGGTTGCCCCTGTTGGACTAGAAACAATATTTCCATGTTTTACATCATGAACACAGCGGATTGGTTTGATTTAGTGACAAACCGCTCCTATAAACTATTAAAGGCTGAGCAGACATTCCAGTAGTTTGATTAAGGTGTTAAAAAGATGAAGGCATAGCGAGGAGATAAGTCTCACTTTTGGTTTTACTAAACAGACTGTAGGGGGTGCTAAAAGCAAACATTTGATCTAAGAGTTTTGACTTTCAGAATTTTGACCTTATTATCAGAAAGCTGAGAAAATAAATAACTTTTTTTCAGTGGCTCTAATCCTCTCAGTGGCCTGAGTGTCCGCCCTGGGACTGGGAGATTGGGATTTAAATCCGGTCAGGTCATACCAAAAGCTTGTAAATGTCTCCCTGCTTGATGTTTAGTATGAAGGAGTTGGATTGGGAGGTTAAACCACCAAATAGTTCCCGAGCGCAGCCACTGCTGCAGCTCACCACTCCTCACGGTCAAAATGCGGAGATGTAATTTCACCAGTGTGTGATGACTAATAGGACCTTAAAAATGTTAACAAAATAAAAATGTTAACAAAATAAAAATAAAAAAACACCTGCAGACATTTCTATGCTGATCACACTGCAGCATATTAAAATGGTTTATTCTGAGGCAATAATATTCAAGTGATGGGTGTAAAGTTAAAGAATAAGTTGACTTATTTTATAAAAAAAAAATCTTATATAGTTCAGCAAAATGTTGGTCCCAATTTCAGTTTCCTAAAATCATCCAATTAATAAAAATGCAACACAGTGAAACCAAAACAACATCTCCTTCCAAAACAAACTCACTCCAGAGCAGTTTGGGATCTTTACACCCCAAACTACTAATTAGTGAGTAATTATAAATAATAACTGATGCGGGAGTGAAGATACCCAGTGATACGGGTGATTTTCTAGCCTTGACTTGTTTACTAGCTAAACCCCTTCCAGAGCTGTATTTAACACTAGATTACAGATGGTATCAACACACACACACACACACACACACACACACACACACACACACACACACACACACACACACACACACACACACACAGTTTCTCCATTGCACCTCTGCGTCTTCATCCCCTGTGGTCTACTGTGCAACAAGATTAAAATGTGAGTGTTTTTGAATTACAACATGTCGACGCTGCACGCTGCTGCCTTATCATTGTTGCATCCATATCAGGAATTGGGACAAGTTTGTTTTCTTCTTTATTGCCTAACTTTTCCCAGTCCCGCCTGCGTTGTATTTACACACCTTGTTTGGCTGCACAGCTCTCCTCAGATTCTCCATCCATTTGTCTCTCTCGGCAGCTGAACGGCAGGAAAAACACTTGCTTCCTGTGGAGGTAGTGACCTACCGCAGAGAAGGAAAACGAATGTTTCAGTGATCAAACCTCACAAACAAAATCTGACGGGAAGGTTTTTCACCAAATGCAAGCCTTAATCATCACCTTGCCTGCAAATTCACCTGTAAGTAGATGTGAGGAACATGACTCAGCATTGTTGAGGGATGATTGAGTGGTGCTCATGAACAGAGGAGATAGATGTATGTTTGACGCATCGGATTATTCTCAAAAACACTGAGAGAAAATGTCCAGTCAGATCAAATTCAGTATTTAAGTGTTTTATATGCTAATTTGCCATTAAAGCCAAGTGATTCCCTTTTTGATGACTCATCCTCCTGCACTCTTCACACTGACCTATTTTACATCTAATGAAACATGGAGGACAGGAAAAAAGATGGTTTCTGTTTGTGTCATACGCCTTCCAGAGAAGTGGAGGGCAACCTCAAAAGGTTTCTAGCTTGAAAGGTGAGATTAAAGCTACAGCTGGAAATCTGCTAAATAAGCCATCTTAAAACAGCTGTTCATGTTTCTTAACAACGCTCTAACATAGTACACCTATAAATATATCGTGGAGACTAAAAAAAGAAAGTCGTTCTCTCGCATTTGCCTAAAAAGCTCAGCCAATAACACGACTCGGTTGAAAACCAACATCTGGACCATCATGTTGTCTCACCGAACTCATGGATTTAACTGGGTCCTTCATTCATTACGCACTTAGCAACAGAACACCACTGGTGTGAGAGGACCTCTGCTCAATGATACCAGAGAAGGAGAAGCAGCCGGATGCACAAACTACCAGACAAATAAAAGACGTTTGGACGTAGAAAACGGCGACTGATGTTTAGCGCTACCTCTTTTCATCTGGTATTACAGATTCCCATATCAGGCAGACGTGGCCCAGGGATGGTAGCCGACTGGAGGAGCGAGTGTTCTGCAACCATGTTTATGTGTAGAAACTAGCTTGTTTTGCAGATTTGCCATTGCAGCTTTAAGTAGGAATTATTTTAGTTTACCTCAAAGCTTTTGGTAGCTTCTTTTAAATGTTCATTTGCAAACTCCCTACACATGTGGAGTTATTTTACTCTTCTATTTACCAAAAGCAGACCGGAACGCAGTGAAAAACTCAAGTTTGTATAATGATTTAGGTATAAATCTTAGTTTTCCTTTTAACTCTTGAAAAATATCAGAAGTTTAGTCCAAACCTTTTCAACTCATAAACACCAAACGTGGTCTTGGGTCCTAACATTCATGAAGCCATTCTAATAACTCACCGGGTTTATCGATTAGCTGAAAACAGAAAAGAGCTAAATAGTTTGTTGTAAATCTGAGGGGGGGGGGGGGGGGGGGGGGGGGGGAACAAAATTACTGAGACATAACTCGACTCAAAAAACCACAAAGCAAACTAATTAAAACTCTGGACGCCTTTAATCTTTAGATCCCTCTGGGCGTCGGCGGCGCACGGAGAACAGCTCAAAACAGCAGCAGCAGCAGAGATGGCTGTCAACACAGCACTTACATGCGTTCATCCTCTGGAGCTGCTTTAGATGAACGTTTTAGTGAATAACAAAGGCTCAGTGTTCACTGTCCCCTTATCTCTGCTGGATGTCAAATCTGGCTCATTAGCAGCTAGCATACTGTGGGTTTGGAAGCTTCACTGTTGCCTACTGTGACTGTAAACAACACTGAGTCAACAAGAGGAAAGTTGCAGGCGATAAAAGCAAAATGATGAGCAGACAGCAGAAGCAAGATGGCGGAGATTTCTTTTAGGTTCCAAGTTATGGGCAACCCCACACCTGTTCATGGTTCTTTTGAAAGCCCAGGGGGCGAAAGGCGGCAACGTTTAATAAAAGTAAAGATAAATGGTGGAAGTGTTTGCTAACCTTCAGAGGCCTGCAACACAGTCGGAGTAGACTGTGAGGTAAAATCAAGAGAACATTATGAAACTGAGATAAAAGAACCAGGAGGGAGTCAGACATAAATCTGGTATTAAAGGGACCTGGACTTGTCTCCTAATGGAGCCGGTCCTTCATACATGGAGTTTAAAACACATGTAGACAGGTGTTCTTTTCAAATGCGACAGATTGTAAAGTCTTGTGCTCCGACACGTGCCGAGAGACGAGAGATGTCCTGATCTCACCTCACGTAACAGACAGGGCCACTGATATATTTCTCGTCCATTTCCAGAATGAAAGTGAAATTAACAGCGTGATGCCGTGAGCTTGTTTCTCTTACCTCTGCAAGCACTAGCTCTTTTTTTACCAACCAATCGTGTAGTTAACGTGGGTCAGATTACTGCGTAGAGCTGCCATCACAATTTGTTTTCACTTATTTTTATAAACCCTTTGAAACACCATCAGCTCTTTTAGTATCAGCTAGAGTGTGCGCACATGTTAACGATTCACGTTTTTGACTGAGAAACTCCGAGAGTGCATGCCGGTAAGTTGAGGGGGGTGCTGTGGATCATTGCCTCAGAGCCGCTCTCTCGGTCGTCCAGGCAACGCTTTTTTTCCAGGTATTTTTCTAACAGGAAGTCTGGCTGAAATAAGTCTCCACTCATGCTGTTACTTCGTCTTGTTCACCCAGAAACCAAATTATATTTGTGTTTTCTGAGATATGGCCGGTCACTCTGAGTTGCAAATGCATACTGAATGTGAAAATAAACTTTAACCCCAAGTGCCTGCATTAGCAGCAGAAAGGAAGGATGGGAGAACAATTGAGCCGAAAAGCCAGTCTCTTCTATGTCACAGTAAAAATTTGTATTTATGGCCCCACCCACCGTGGCTTGCAACCTCCCATAAGGAAGCTGTGCTGATTTTGGGGCAAAGAGATAGCAGAGCATGTCTCAGCTATAGTAGCTAACCATTAGCATTAGCAACTCCAAAATATGGCAGCACACTTTTCTGTTTTGAGTGGAGATAACACATCATTGCTGCATTTTCTACCCAAGAGAAAAGCAAAGGAAGAAACTATGTTTGCATATCATGAATATTAACAAGTGAGACTCGTAATCCTGACTTCTACCCTCTGAAACAGAAGCGCTAGAGATTTTTTCCCACACAAAACATCTCACAAGATATTCCTTCATACTAGAAGGCAGCGGTGGCAGAGGGGTTAAGTGAACTCCTCATAACTGGAAGGCTGTGGGATCGAGTCCCGCTCAGCCTGTCACTGTCGCTGTATCCTTGGGCAAGACTCTTAACCCACCTTGCCTGCTGGTGGTGGTCAGAGGGACTGGTAGTGGTAGCATCAGTGTTCAGCCGCCTTGCTTCCAACAGTGCACCCCACAGAGCAGCTGTGGTTACAATGTAGCTCATCACCAAGTGTGTGAATGTGTGTGCATGGGTGAATGACTGATTGTGTTGTAGAGCAACTTGGGGGGTTGTAGAACCCTAGTAGACACTATACAGTACAGGCCATCTACCATTTTAGACACCACAGCTAATTTATTGAAAAAGTTAGTGAATGAGACCTTCAACAGCTTCCAATCAGAGATCAATCACAAACAACTAAGACATTCCCAACTGGGAAATCCGTAATCTAGAGCTAAACTACTAACCTATAAAGCAGACCTTTACAGATTTTTGTTTGCATACTTTCTTTGCATTATGAATACTTTTTGCTGGTTGTTATAAAACACTGATGCATGATTAGGTCACGAGGTTTAAAGCACAACACATCAATACCGCATTTAACCAAATCCAGATGTTTCTGTTTCATACTCCTGTTTACATTTTTAAAGGCTTGTGCTCATTCAGACCCTCACCTCGAAGCAGTAGTCCTGGCCGAGGATGCTGCTGTGCACCGGTTTGATGATGACCTCGTCTTCCATGCTTAAGTCCAGGGCTTCCACGGCACTACTAGGGCTGAGCAGTGATTCATGAGAGCGAGACTCCTTCAGCCTTGGCATCAGATGAGATCTGTGAGATAGGAGAGGGAGGGAGAAAGAGGATGGTCAGAAATGAGTCGGCCTAGCAGTCTAAGCTGAGGAAGTACACAGTAGAAGAGGGAGCATATACAACAGCACTTAGCCAGCGTTCATGGTGAGGGTAAAGAAAGGGTGTAAGAATGACGAACACAGCTTACTTGTCTCCAAGTTGACAAACGAGCAACATGACTGGCATGCACGTGTAGATCAACACATGTGGATGCGACCACTTGAGAGCTCAAGTGCTCACCAACAAATGAATCCAGAAACACTTGAGGCCAACCCATATAATATAATATAATATTATGTGTGTGTGTGTGTGTGTGTGTGTGTGTGTGTGTGTGATTGGAATAACTCAGCTTAATCAGATCAAATTAGATTACATTCTCTGACTGTACCACAAACATCTGTGTGTCTAAGATTACTGTCTAAGACAGCACTCAAACAACTCTACTGTCTCCCAGTTCCATACCGGATCCATTACAAATTGCTCCTCATCACTTACAAATGCCTCAATAACCTAGCACCGTCCTATCTGACGGAACTTCTCCATCGCCATTCTCCTTCCCGGCACCTCCGTTCTGCTGACTCCAGCCTCCTTTCCCCTTTCAGAACAAAACATGGCACCTTGGGGGATCGAGCCTTTGCAGCCGCTGCCCCCACACTTTGGAACTCTCTCCCACTAAACATCAGGAATGCAGTCTCCCTTTCTACTTTTAAGTCACTGCTTAAAACCCCCTTTTTTAAACTGGCCTTCTCTTAAGATCAACCCAGCATCCCCCAGTCTGTTTACTATGTTTTCATTTTGTTTTATTATGTGTTTATTGCATTTTTTGTGAAGCGTCTTTGATTGACCTAAAAAGCGCTAAATAAGTTTGTTGTATTATTATTATTAGGGCTCCAAGCCCAACGGGCTTGGGGGCGCCCTTGGATCTGAGGCATTGACTCTCCAACTGCCCTGGTAATAATTACACTACAAAGTGATAGAGGAGGAAAAATAACTTTGTGAAAATCAGTTAATTTAACATTTTACATTTATGTCACCTGGCCACTCTGACAGATTACTGGGAGCGAGCCTTCGCTCTGAACAGCTAATTGAGGTCTAAGACCTTGGTGAAACTAATTTTAGAGGTGAAATTTCTCATCTTGTCCCTTTCCCTTCTTTTTTTCCACACAGTAAAATGATACAAAACAAAAATAGAACATCAATCCTACTTAAAGCTCTGATAGAAATTCATTACATGTCCTGCTCGTCAGAGACACATCTTTTATTTATCGCAGCAACCAAAATGGAACAGATGTGCTGGAATCTGTGCGAGCCGTTGTAATTGCCCTTCTCCGTTGGACTATGATAAGAACCACGCGTGCATCTAGAAGTGTTCAATCCTCTGACGGATTCAAGCGGGGGGGGGGGGGGGGGGGGGGGGCTCGATTCTTCGACGTTTTATTTCCAGAAAAGAGTAGAAAACAAAGTAAAGAGCCATTCACTGTCGTCCTGTTTCTCATTTGAGTCGAGGTACTCTCACACAGTTTGAGCAAATGGATCTGCATTTGAACGCTCTGCATCTTTAGGAGGTCCAACTCTTAAAACAAAAACCCACCAGGCATACGGCAGTGTTTACCCGTGACTTCCCAGCTACCTCGCCCGTTTTCCGGTCGGGCCCAGGTTGACAAGAGGACCAAATCAAATGGGGCGACGGTGGCACAGGAGTTAAGTGCTCGCCCCGTAATCGGAAGGTTGCAGGTTCGAGTCCCGCTCAGTCTGTTGCCGTCGTTGTGTCACACTTAACCTGATGCCTGCTGGTGGTGGTCGGAGGGACCGGTGGCGCCGGTGCTCGGCAGCCTCGCCTCTGTCAGTGCGCCCCAGGGCAGCTGTGGCTACGTCGTAGCTCATCCCCACCAGCGTGTGAATGTGTGTGTGAATGGGTGAATGACTGATTGTGTTGTAAAGCGCCTTGGGGGGGTTCCATGACTCTAGAAGGCGCTATATCAAATACAGGCCATTTACCATTTACCATTTACCAAATCTACACTATTCTAGTGGGGGATGTAAGCAGCTGTAGGCGAGCTACGGGGGTCTCCGGTGGCAGGAAGACAGAGACAAAGGGTCAGTTTTTTGTGTAATGAGTGAGAACGGTCTTTTAATGGTGCACTCTAAGGACAGATTACACACTAAGCCCATGTGATTGTGCAGGTGTGTGTGTGTGTGTGTACAGTACATCGTGACCAAGCATTGGTGGAAAAGGCTTTCCATGCTAAACAAATGCAGCAAATGTAATGACAGATTAGCAGCCATGTGAAGTAACTTATTTCTACAGTCTGGCAGCTTTGCAGTCAAATCCTCTGTCCAGTGTGAAACGGATAATGACCAGGACTCTCGTTTTCAGTCTCTAACACGCCCCTCTCTTCCCACACACACACAAAGGCAAATGGACTCATCTGAGACAACCGGGAGAAAAAAACAAACCCTCAAGGACAGATCTGGATATGAACACCCAGTTCATGGAGATCCCGACAATTCCACAGCACAGCTGCAGAAGAAGCGCCTAGCGCTGCTTTACGATTGGCTGGTTGGGTACTGGGCAGAACACAGAGCATGTCAAATGTGTGGAAAGATAGGAAGATGTGCTGCTGTTTATTGGGACAGAAAAAGGAATGCTGTGTGGGAACCATGGCCTGAAAGCTTTTGCCTTTAAACTGACTGACAAAGCTGCTGAGCGTTTTAATTACCAGGCATTTCTAGCATTCAGGCATACTAATCCATTACATACAGTGTGGAATTAGGAGAAACTGCAGCAGAAAGGAGAATGCTTCTTCTAAACTGAATATATTTGGCTCTTACATCAGGATTTTTTCTTCTCAGCACAACATATTAAGAGAACATTAGTGTCAACGAAAATGGTGAGAGACTTGAAAGTGTGAAATGATGACAATGCCAATTGTCTGCGTGGCATTGTATTAAACCGCACCACAACGTGTAATTTACCACCTATTATTCATGTTCGGGTTTGCATTAAAGGCAATAAAAGAGCGCCTGACATGTGGATCTTTCTCATTACATCACAGCGTCTGACACATCATCCAAGCCAAACTCTTTAAATGACAGCCGGATTTAAAAGAAGAAGGGAGCCCCGCTGGCTTCATCCCTTCATTTCTCAGCTGTTTGCCTCCTCACCTCCCCCACATCATCCACCCTCAGCAGAGGGCCTACTTTGTCCTTGAAAATCCTTCAACACTCCATTTTCGTGCTGCTGAATGACTTCCTGCTCCGAGTTTACCTGAAGTTGTCAGGTGGATTTTCGCTGACAGTCTTCCTTCATTATTCTCTTTCTGCTCTCTTGGCCACCCGTCAATGTCTCCTTCTTCTGGGCTTCATTCTGGCCAGATGAATATTTCAGATGCTATGCCAGCGATGCACCTGTCAGGAAGTTCAGAAACTACCGGAGGCTGTTGAACGCTGGCTGGACTATGAAACCCAGTCGAGAAGGTTAAACCAAAAGAATATCAGGGATGAAAGCTGAAGCATGACTCCACTTGAATCTAAGAAATGCTATAACTGCGTTCATGGTTATAACTTAGGCACAAAATATGAAAATTCAACAGTGAAACAATCACATAACAGCCTAATGTCCCAGTTATGTTGGAAGGAAGGTTACGTTCAGGGTCCGAAATTAACACTCGCCACTCGCCAAATGCGAGTAAATTGCTCCACCTGGCGAGTAAATGTTTGCACCAAATTAGTTATGTTTATCCGTCATCTTCCACGGATTTCTGATACTCCTCCCGCCTGCATGCAACGTACACAAACGTACGCGAAACGTGAACGCCGCATCCAACGTCATTTCCACCTATCCCATTCAATCAGTTTATCAAGTTAGCGGTTAGCTTCGTGTTAAAACTAGCGGTGAAATGTGACGGTTTTTAACTGGAGTCAGCCAGCCTTCCAAAAGAAAACTCGTCGAACTGGAAGAAAAACCACCAGGACCAGTGGCAACAAGAAGATTTTGTGAAAAGTGGCGAACTGGAGAAGGCGGAGTCATGAGACAATGGCTACATTATGATGGCCACGTAGCGTTGCTGCCTTTCACAGACAACTGGCCCTCGGCATTCTTCAAATATCCAAAAAATGCCCATACTTCCGACTTTGTCTTCTTTGAGGGATAATAAATGTCCCGAGTGCTGCCGTCTCCTCCTGCCATTATTTCAGCTTTAGCTTAAAGAAAGTTTTGGTCGTAAACAACAAAGTGCGCATGTGCCGCCGGCAACTTCCAGCAGATGATACGGTGGCTGGTAAGGGTCACCGCGCCTACACCGCAGCCACGGTAATCCACCGAGATAATATATATATATATATATATATATATATATATATATATATATATATATATATATATATATATTTTTTAAACAAGACTGTTATTATTTATTGTCAACTTTTTTACCGGGGTTTACTGCTACACCGGTTACCGTGACAACCCTAGCCCTGACACACTTTCAGATATCCTCATGCTGCAGCTGTGTTCTCCAGAGATCAAGGACTATAGGATCCAAATGAGGCTATAATGCTTTGGCACAAAGACGGTGTCAGAAGCAGGAGGCCAGACTTCATGGACAGAGAAAACAAGGAGTCTGACTAGATTTCAATGAAAGAGTTCATAAAAACATCTCTAAAAATAAATAAATAAATAGTAAAAATGACAAGAGTTGTTTTCCTTATTAATTGATGTTTTAATTATTTTTGTCACTCTGTTTGGAATCAACATAATATAGAATAACATGCTTTAGGTAGATCTAAATCATTTAGGATTTTGGCCGGTAAAAAATATGCTTGGCCGGTGAGTAAAAAATTTAATTTTGGACCCTGGTTACGTTGAAACTGATTTTATTCTCAGCCAGCTAGGGGGTTGTCAGTTTGTCTCCTTTCAAAAAAAACAAAAGAGGGACGTAGTTAATGTTTACGATCGGTGAGTTTGCGAGGTTGCCATGTTTCGG